AGGCCAAAATATCTTTTTTGAGGTGAGGAGACCACATCTGCACACAGTATTCAAGATGTGGGCGTACCATAGTTTTATACAGGGGCAGTAAAATATTCTGGGTCTTATTTTCTATCATTTTCTTAATAATTCCTAGCATCCTATTTGCCTTTTTGACCGCCGCTGCACACTGTGTGGAAGTTTTCAGAGAACTGTCCACGATAACTCCAAGATCTCTTTCCTGATTTGTCGTAGCCAAATTAGCCCCCATCATACTGTACGTATAGTTGGGGTTATTTTTCCCGATGTGCATTACTTTACACTTATCCACATTAAATTTCATTTGCCATTTTGTTGCCCAATCACTCAGTTTGGTGAGATCTTCTTGGAGTCCCTCACAGTCTGCTTCTGTCTTGACTATCCTAAACAGTTTGGTATCATCTGCAAACTTTACTACCTCACTGCTTACCCCTTTCTCCAGATCATTTATGAATAAGTTGAAAAGGATTGGTCCCAGGACTGACCCTTGGGGTACACCACTAGTTACCCCTCTCCAATCTGAAAATTTACCATTTATTCCTACCCTTTGTTTCCTGTCTTTTAACCAGTTCTCAATCCAAGAAAGGACCTTCCCTCTTATCCCATGGCCATGTAATTTACACAAGAGCCTTTGGTGAGGGACCTTGTCAAAGGCTTTCTGAAATCTTAAGTATACTATATCTACTGGATCTCCCTTGTCCGCATGTTTGTTAACCCCTTCAAAGAACTCTAACAGATTAGTAAGATAGGATTTCCCTTTACAGAAACCATGTTGACTTTTGTCCAACAAATTATATTCTTCTACATCCTTCACAATTTTGTTCTTTACTATTGTTTCGACTAATTTGCCCAGTACTGAAGTTAGACTTACCGGTCTGTAATTGCCAGGATCGCCTCTAGAGCCCTTTTTAAATATTGGTGTCACGTTGGCTACCTTCCAGTCATTAGGTACGGAAGCCAATTTAAGGGATAGGTTACAAACCACAGATAATAGCTCAGCAATTTCCCATTTGAGTTCTTTTAGAACCCTTGGATGAATGCCATCCGGTCCTGGAGATTTGTTAACATTAAGTTTTTCTATTTGTTCCAAAACCTCCTCTAATGACATTTCAATCCGGGACAGTTCCTCAGATTCATCACCCACAAAGGACGGTGCAGATTTGGGAATCTCCCCAACGTCCTCAGCCGTGCTTTTTCCTCTTTTCTGTTTTTGTGCAAAAAAAAAAAAAAACCCTGTTGCCCATCCACACACACCTTTTTGCGCAAGAACTCTTGTGCAAAAAGGAGTTATTGCTTGTAGAAGGAGGAATACCTACTGGTACAAAAACACGCTTGAGGTGTGGATGCTCCATGAGTTTTTGTGCAAAATCAGCTGTTTTTGCACATAAACTCTGTAGTATAGACCTAGCCTGGGAAATTACACCAGAAGCAAGTTTTGCTTGGTTTTCCTCCTCCTCCCAAGTTTAAGTTCATTTGTCCAAGCCAGTGCGTTTAGTAAAAGTTGAACTTCTCTAGTCCAACACCATCAGAAACTGAGCATTTCTCAACTAGAGAATTTGGCACACCACAGGAGGTCAACCATGGCCCAGGGGCTCTGATGCTGGCCCTAGGTCCCAGCTGCTGTCCCTAGGTCCCAGCTGCTGTCCCCTCTGCTCCCACCAAGGTCCCAGCCTCCAGTCCCAAGGCTCTGCTTCTGGACCTAGCCTGGTGCTCCACAGCTTCAAGGAGAGGGACAGACAAGGGTAATGGGGGTAGGGGATACAGAAAACCTGTCCACATCCATGATAAGTGGTCATCCAGCTAATTAAAATAATTCTGGACTACTAATGTTGCCCGATCAGAAAGTCCTGGGTTAGCGATCAGTGCTTCAGAAGGGAGCCATTGTGGAGATCAAAGCCTTTTTTAGAACTACCAGTCAACATATTCTGTTATTTTTTGGTTGAGCTGTTGTCTGTAAACATTTTATTGCTCCACTAAGTTCTGCGCCTGTTCATTTTTCTCTTAAGTACTATGGGGAGGAGGAAAAATCAACTTAGTTTCTCTCTGTGATTTATTTGGAGAGGAAAGCATGGGGAAATCAAGCACTGGCATATGGTTCCTTACCTCAAAGAGCTAGGTTTAGAAAGGAAGTTAGGCATGGCAATGCTGAGCATCACCATACCCAACATTTAGGAGCCTAAAAAGTCACTGAGATTCACAAAGCCAGGGTGAGGTGCCTCACGTCATATACACTGAGGGTGATTTAAATAATCGCCGCAGCATTTACATAAAAATGGCCACTGCACTGTGCCGATCAGCTGATTGTCGGCACAGCACGGTAGTCACAAGGCATAAAGCTTGTTTCACGAGGCATAAAGGATCTGACGACAAAGGGTTCTGGGGTTGGCTGATCCCCGTCTAGACTACCGCGCTGTGCCAACAATCAGCTGATCAGCACAGCGCGGCGGCCATTTTATGTAAATGAAGCAGCAATTGTTTAAATCGCTGCTTCATTTTGCTATGTCTAGTAAACTCATCTACATGGCTCCGTCGACAGAGCCATGTAGTCTAGACACACCCTGAATGTGGAGAGATAGGCACCTCTGAAGCAGATTCACAAAAATCAGCACCCTACATGGCTCCCAGGGTAAATTAGCCAATGGCAGATGTTGAGGCAGGGAACATGTCCTAATCCTCACCTCTCTCAGGGAAGTAGGCTCCAAACTCCAAGCTCCAAGGAGCCTTCCTCTTCTTGGGATTCTCAACTGCGAATGCTCTCTTGGGGCTGGGATGGCTCTACCGTTGTGCAAGAGGCCTAAGCAGGAGGGGAAGAGAAGGAGGAGGAACAGCTCCCTCACCATTTTTAGCTAATGGGGTTCCTCAGTCTCCCTCATTGAAGCTATTCCACTGTAGCTATCAATAAAAAAGTCACTGGTGCAGGGGACTGAATCCTAATTGTCCCATTTCCAACGTGGCAGTGCTAACCACTAGACTACAGAGCCAATCCCTTGCTTGAGCTCACTCTACTTTCCCTGTCGCATGGAGCTTTCATGCTTTGCCCACAGTAGAACAGCTTCTGGAGGGAAGTCTGAGAGGGAGCCGCCTTGGAACATTCCTTAGTCCAGTGGTTTGGGCATTCACGTGAGGTAGCAGATCCCTGTTAAATCTTCTCTCCTTGTCGGGAAGATTGGAAACTTGAACTGCAGGTCTCCCACAGCCCAGGTGAGAACCCTAATAACTAGGCTAAAAGGCACTTGCCTTGTAGCTATTTTGTGTAAGCTCCCCTATAGGGGTCAAATGAGGAGGGTGAAGTCTGAGCATGCTTACCAGATTGGGCCATACAAGCAAGTAACATTTATCTTCCCCTAGTTTGTTCATGGTTAGTCATCTGGCTACCTGGCACTGGTGGGTAGTTTACATGCACAGAGGCAGAAACAGGTGCTTAGAGAATGTATACTGACATTTAGGCATTGAGTAAATTCAGTTGCCTACAGGTGTCTGATTCTGGGATTTAGGCACCTAACATCACAGTTAGGTGCCCAAATCTTTTGTGATTCTAACCCTAGATGTTACCCTTTAGTAACCTTAGTATCTTGAAGACTTTCACTTTATCTCCTCCCAGAGAAGGAAGGTGTTCCTCTCCAATTCTTCTGCCTTGTATTTTGTTAAGAGTTTGTATTGTTATTTGGCAAGTAAAAGATGACATGGTATGTACTGGGGGCTGTAGTTTGGAGGTATTTGTGTAAATTCGCACTCTCCAGCAATCCCACAAATTATTTTCTGGTATTCTGTTCCACAGGGCACTCTGTAAACAGTAAATCAAGCCAAATTACTTTACAGAAGAGATTAGGAGAAAAAAAAGAGTAGGGAACCGTGCAGATCTCTTTTGGAACTGTGGTTAATTTTCAGGTCTCTTCTTAGTCAAATGCCTCATCAGCAAATACTGAGACTTTAACAAGTAGAGCAATCCTAGCCAAAGAGTATTGGTAGAGAGTCAAGTTAAGGTCAAGATACATTGTTAGTTTTTGTTTTCTCAAGAGGAAGGCAGTTGTCTACAGCCTCATGCTAAACAACTATATCTTTATGGCACACAACAGGTATCCTTCGTTGATTAGGTAAAACCATTACCATAATATGTGTTACTCCCGTCAAGATTTGTCTAGTGTATGATAACATAAATACCTTTATTTAAAGATCTCTCCTATTTAATGCAACATTCACAGAGCAGTTCTAATTATCTCTGTGAAAATAGCCTTCCCTTTTCTTGCCATAAGCAGCAAAGTTAGCAGTTTAGCAGAAATTACATACTTAATTTCAGGTTTCTGCGTTTTCATATTTATTCTAGGCATTTCTTAATCTGGAGCACTGAAGTGTGTACATTTTCACAGACAAATTTAATTATTTGATTAAGGGATAAGCAAAAAATTCCTAACTTTAAAAAAATGTGTTTTTGATCCCTGCTAAGTAAAATCTTACTTAGCCGGTCATCTGAAGAAGTGGGCTGTGCCCACAAAAGCTCATGATACCATCTACATGTTTTGTTAGTCTTTAAAATGCTACCAGACCATGTGTTACTTTTCTCAGTGATTCAAGGATATATCATCTTAGCTGAGGAAAGTAAATGAGTTATAACCCTTCCTGAAATCAAACAATTAGATTCTTAACATGAATAGTATATGGGGAAAGTTTGTCATGTGAAAGCGATGCACAAATATTTAAAATATACAAGTTTCTTTAAAGCTTCCTGTCTAATTCTTTACTCCAGTACAAAAGTTTGGATGAAGTACAAAATTAGACGCAAAGTATCTTGTTAATGAAAATATTAATTTGAGGTTTGTGTCTCCTATCAAACTTCTAGCAGATACCTATATTTTTAAATAGCTTTTAGCTCCTATAATTTATGTTTCCAAACATCACATAACAGCATGTTCAGGCTGACAATCACAGACTTTGAAACTGGATGAATTAAATACAGCTTATGCAATCTGTTGAGAGGTGCAATAATAATAAAAAGTTTATTATTAAAACTATATACAATACATACAAAATGAAGTTGCTGTACTACTTGTGTTTTACATTGCTTTGTTTCTGTTTTCTATGAAGTGATTCATAACAGGACAATTCTGAGTGGCCCCTGCTGAGAGAAAATATAAAGCACTGGAAATGTTTCAAATTTTCTTTCAACCAGTTCGGTACAGGATGTTCAGCAGAAATCTTTTCCATTAAGAAGACCCTGACCTGATAATCTGATATTTTCGCCAAATACCCTGTTGGCTCACCAGCCTAACAGGAGCATAATGTTCCATTACTCATGTAATAATCTACATACATGTGGCGGATAAATGGTTACATTCCAACCAGGCAGAATTATAATACCGAATATGCAAGAGCTCCAGTCTGCACAATGCTTCCTTTTGTTCTGCTTTTCACTATGGGTCTGATGCAATCAATGAATTGAGAGCTGTCTGCCATAGGAAGTGTTCTCACTCTAGTTGTGCAAATCCTTCCAACTGTAATGGTGGAGATTTGTTTGAATATAAAACCATGAATTCACTTTAGTAATTATGACCCATTTTATTTGTCTACCCAAATATGAGGGACATTTTTGTTTGCAAATAGTTTTGCATTTGTTTAGAAAGCAAAAGCTTCTCAAGTAGAACGGAACAAAACAAATTTAGTGAATAGTAAATTTGCCAAAAAAAGAATATTGACGGACACTGAAACCATTCCCAAATGCAAAATTACTTGAGTTGAACTTGATGAATAGGTTTGACTGAAAAAAAAAAAAAACCCTGAAAAAAATGTTCATTTTTATAACTACCCCTTTTGACATTTTGTTTCAAAACATTTGCATAATGAAATGATAGTCTAAATATTTTGTTCAACACAAATACATTGTGTTTTGGTATTGTTTCAATGAGAATTCACTGCAGTTTGAAATGAAGTAATTGTTTTTTTCAGATTTTTTGGTTCAGACACTGAAACAAAAAACTCATTCACTTTATTCACAAGTCCTTGTGCAAATGCATTTACACAGTGACATACACTCAGATTGGTGACCACAAAGGAATTTAGGCTTTGCAAAACTAAGCATCATGGTACCTAACTTTTAGGTGCCTAGAAATATCACAGGAATAACAAAGCAAAATTCAGTGCCTGCGCTCCCTGTTCACTGACTGGGGAGTGAGGGGCATTTGTAATGGAATCCACAAAAGCCACCAATGTTAGGAAGGGAGCCACCTAAGTTAGGAAGTGGAAGACACTGACCAGAGGAGTGTATGCTAAACCCAGCTGGTCTCTCAGAGATAGGCATCTAACCTTACTCAGAAATTCACAAACAAGAGCCCACCCACTGATGACAAAATGCCCGGAGGAAGACATGAAGGGACACCCACTTTACAATCCCTAGCTCAGTGGTTAGAGCACTCACATGGGATGTGGGAGACCTAGGCTCATTTCTCCCTCATAAACGATCCCTAGGCTGACATTTGTTTATGTCAGACCATTTCAAATCATTAAAACACTTTCAAAATCAAAGTCTGCTCAAAGATCATTTATGAGCATGAGAAAAAAAGGACATATTTTCTACTATTATGTGGTACAAGTATATGAATAGAGCCAAAGGACAGACTGAACTATTAGAATCATCTAGTCTGACCTCCTGTATAATACAATGCTTTGATGCCTGCATTTAGCCTAGTGACCTGTAATTCAACTACACATACCCTTTAGAATTTGCACAGCTCTAGTTCTGGTTATGTGCAAGAGAACTAACATTTTTCTTGGCATAAAATCACAGAAATGTAGGACTGCAAGGGAACTTAAGAATGCAGGATGATTTACCTTAAAGCCAGGACCCAGTGCTTCTCAGACCTACACCCAGCCTTCACGCATAACACACCCAAAGCTCACAGTCAGGTCAACAGGGACTTTTGTATGTACTAGGTTGGTCATATCAGGGCCTCTGAATCCATCACTGCCACTGGCAAAAGCACACATGGGGCTGAGAGGAAAATCATTTCTAAATTATATTGGACAGCTCTTCTTCACACAGCAAGCATGTTTCCAGTCCACCTCTGCTCCACAGCTTTCCCCCCATTTCTTGACCATTTAAAGTCGTTTGATCAGCAATCTTTGCTTTTGCTGTATGTAAATAAATATGCCAAGCATTTAGCAGCGCCTGTCCTAACTACCACACCCTCTCACTGTGCCACAAAGAAATCAGCCACCGCTCAAATGCCACTCTTTTATTAATAGAATGGTTTAATAGACTGAAACTGAAATGGATCAAAGGAATGTTTATCCATTAAAGTTGCCAGAAAGTAAATATTGGCTACAGATGTCATAAAGATTTCATTTAACAAAAATTAAATATGGCCCATGGCAAAACTAGCAACCTTTAGAAATGTATTGGTGAGCTGCTAGCAGAAACAGCTGCTAGCAAAAATGTTTGCTTTGTGAAAACAAAAGTCCTGGCAAATTCAATTTTAACTTAATTAATTACTGTTTTGATTCTGTGTTAACAGCCCTCAGCTCCTTCCTAGTTATTACATACAAGCCAGCCATTAACATGGTAAAAAACCAAATTAGCGTTCAAGACACTAATGGTCCCCAGTGGAGCAGAAATCACTCTTTTAACAAAGCCCAGCAGGGCTATTAGGATACAAGTCATTTTCTCTCATTCAAGATAAAAGAATGTGTTTGCCAGCGATAGCATGTCTATATTGACTGAACCACATTTCTCTCACATTAACTTATTTTCCACAACATGAAAAGCACTTAAAGAAAATAAAGCACTGGTATGAAAATAAACATTTTAAAGAAGCATATTTCCTTCTGGAAGCACTGTGTGCTAACTTTTGAGATCCCACTTTTATAATTAAATCGTGGCAAATATCGATGTGAAGAAATCTTTTCACAGTATCAAACTCTACTTACCAAATGGAAAGTAGCATGTCTGATCTGACAGCTGGTACAAGACAGATTCTAAAAATAAATCTCACTTTTTAAAAGTCATTATGATAAACAAAGAAATCTTGTCTACTTAATCCAAATACTTAACAACTTGACAAAAGAACAGATTTTCTCTATACCCAGGCATTTGCTCTGCTGCATTTCTTAAGAGCCAATCAGCATATAATGTGTGCTTTTGTTTCAGTTTGTAAATAGGTATTACTAGATGCTAACCTTTCCTCACACAATCAAACATTGCTTTGCTGTAACAACATTGTTCTCAGTCCTCTCTCTCTTTCCTCTTCCTGCCTGTATCTCTCTTCTAGTTTCTGTTTTTCAGAGTCCATGCTATAAAAAGTAGAGTCTACGCTTCTTCTGATTTGCTCAAACTGACTAAAATCAGCAACATATTTTCCATTTTGGGAGAGAGAAACCACAGGCACAAACTCATAACCCCAGTGGATCTCCTCTGGGATATAAGAAGTTCTGCTTTGGCAGACAGCACTAGTGGATTCTACTGTGGCATTCAAGAGGACAACCAGTTCAAAATCCTTTTCTCTTAGGTTCTGGGGTGTGAGATCTCTTAAAGGGCTACTCTCATCCAAAATATGGTAAAAGGTTAAAGGTAAAATCAGAAATGGGCTTTCTGAAGAGGAGTCAACATGGAATTTGACACTGGCTTGGTTGAGCAGGATCCTCTCCCCTTCTTTGGTTTCATAGGTTTGAAGAAGTTTCCCAGACAACTGGCACTGAATCAGAAGGCTCTTCCTCATATTTGCCACTCTGATCACAAGGCAAAGCTCTCCATTGTGTTTGGTAATTACAGCACAGTGACTGAACTTAATAGTCTCAGCCCGTTTTTTGGGTCTTGCAATTTTGGCCAAAAAAGTGCCAGTGATAAAGATCTCAATCAAGGTTGTGATGACTAGCTGAGCAACCAGGAGGAAAATGGCATGAGGGCACTCCTCTGTGATGAAACGGAAGCCATAACCAATTGTTGTCTGTGACTCCAAAGAAAAGAGAAATGCCCCAGTTAGCGAGTTTACTTCCTTGACACAAGGCATATGCTTGGGGGGGAAATGATCCCTTTCTAAATCTCCATGAAGAAATGCAATGGCATAATAGATAACTCCAAAGAGGAACCAGGTCATCACAAAAGTAGCAGCAAACAGGGTAAGTTTATATCTCCACTTCATGTCTATAACTGTGGTCCACAAATCCTGAAGGTAAAGCAGATATATACCATCTACTTTGTCAATCCTCACATTGCTGTGACCACTTTTGGACATCACCCGGGGTCTGTGGGTCTTCAGTTCTGCACTGATGAGACCATTAACAAGTGGGGCACTCGATGTATTCATCTGAGTGGTGCCCATTTTCAGTTCCTCAGTTCTAAGGAGGAAAAAAAAAAAAGAAAATCATTAGAAAAATTCTGAAGGACAGAATGTACAGAATCATGACTGCATTACATATGTGTAACAAAGGGATGCTCCTGGAACAAAAAGTCTGATATTACAGCTGGTTGACTTTAAAAAAAATAATATTTTGACTTTAGTCACTGCCATATAAAGACACATGGTAGCTTGGAAAAGAAATGTGCCCACCCTAAAATCCTACATTAATACTGTGTTTTTTAAAAAGGCATGAGGTGAAATTCTTCTAATTTATTATTTCAAGAAAGCAACAGAGACTTGTTTTGACTCCTGAATATATTCCCACTCAATAATTCAAGAGAGGGATTTCATTAAAATAAACTCATTTTTAATGCTTATTTTAGAATACCAGACCAGCATTGTCTCACAAAACAACACAAAATAAAACACAAAATTTTGATCATAGTCAATTAACTTTCACAGGCAATTTAATCAATAATTTCTAGTTCTTCCCTAATCATATAACTAAGCTACAGGAAAACTACATAGTCTTGTGAACACATAAAGGAGAGTTCTGGAAATAAATATTTGCACCTGAAAACTCTTCAAGGCCCTTTGCAACATATAGAACTCCAATTTCAAACAGTCAGTGGAAACCAGGAGGCAATTCACAAAATCAGCATTCTGGTCTTAGGCCGTGACCTGTGCAAACACGGGAACCAATGGAGCACAAGACTCAAGAAGTTTGTTTACTGTGAACCCAGTTCAGACCAGATGGAGATCAAGTGGGAGTTCCTTCAGGATGGAATAAAATGCACAAAGTGCAGGAGAAGATTGCCTGGCCAGTTGGATGAGGCAAATAGCCACTGCTTCCAGGACAAGACAGTGATTACGTAGTGCAAGGACAGGGCATATTACAGTAGTTTCCAATAACAAAACTTCCTGCTCTAAAAAAAGCTCCCCGTGCATCCTTTGTGCTTTTGGCTCAAACATTGGTTTGTTCCATTGTTTTGCTTAAAAAGAAGCTTTAATAAGTGTTTCTTTTTTATGAACCACAGGAAAAAAAAGTTCTCCCTTGTAACTACTTAAAAGAAGCTTGCAGGAAACTCAAGACGTATTTGTGGAGGGTGGGTGTGCTAACCCAGGACAACAACATAATTGTTCACTGTTGTAACTTTCCTGTTATGTCAATAAAAAGGAGTTTTGTTTACTAAATACACTGATTAACCAAATTACAGTTTTTTCAGGGAAAATTGTAATTAAAATTGTATTTATTTTGTCACACTGTAGTTTATTCAGATTTTGTTTTAAATCACTAAAGCTCATTTTTCTTATTTTAGATTCAGTTTTAAAATATAAAAAATAGGAATGTGCTGATGATCCCAGTAGGAGACCTTTTATGTGACAATCATACCACCACACACACTGTGCAGCATGTCCAGATAAACAGAAAAGAAAGAAAAAGGCCAAGTGATCTTAAAAAGAACTACAGGAGGCAGCAGAAAAAGCAAAACAAAACACAGCAGTATAGGACCAACTGCTGTTTAGACAAGCCCAGAATGTAAGCATCCGCAACATGCAATGCACAACTCAGTAAGAAAAATTGCATGCCAGATAGTCAAGAGGTCCCACTGCACATGTCAAGCATTACCATGATAAGATATTGATACAAAAAGTGCCTAAAATCTGTCCTGCTATCAGCCCTATTTCCTCTAAAGCTCACTTCTCCAGTCTCTGGTTCCATTCATGAGAAGTGATGGGTTACAATGAATTCTCTGTCACAAATGACTTCTACTCTTCTAAAGGCCAAATTGTACCTTGAGCAGGAGGCCATGCAGTGGCCGTAAGGGCCAGTCCTACTCCTGTGTGTAGCCTATCAGCATTACAGCTTTGTGCACAGAGGACAGAGCAGATTCCCCAGAGCTGCTATCTTCCCCCAGTTATGCAGGTTCATGAGGCATAAGTGGAGAGAGACAGAAATCTGCCCTCTCCCTTTAGTGCACCAGTTAGGGGAGCTGAGCTGTGGGGCATGCTAAATGCTGGGCTTATGAGATGGGAGGGTCCCAGAATTCAAGCACAGCCTGACCCCAGACATTTACACCACAATTAAACAGCCTCTTTGCCCAAACCCCAGGATCCCAGTGTACATCTATCCTAAAGGGCTATATCAAAACAGATTCCAAAAGAGCAGGGAGGAGCTACGGAAGGAACTGTGATTCTCAGGCACGATTCTTTCCCAGGGCTGCTCTCTATAAGCCTCCTCTTCCAAGACCTCACTTTATCTGTAAGTGACCTACAAAATGTTCCAAGAAACTTCCCATTCACCCCTGTCTACCCCTGGCATCCCCAGCTTTTTCTCCACTTCTGTAGTGGAGACTTACAGATCTGTAGGTTTCTGGATCTTCATGATATATGAATTAGAATGGCTTCAGTCTGGTCTGTGCTATATACTCCTCTCTTGATTTGTATTTCTGTTTTATCTCAAGGCTCTCAGCTCTTCAGATACTTCCTTTTGTGTCCTGGAATGGATCCCATCAGAGCCTGGTCTTTTTTTCTGACTTCCTGCATTCTCCCTGTTACATCATCTATTCCTGCACTATCTCAAATTCCTCTAGTATATTTCTTTCCTCTCACAGGAAATACATGATGGGTTTCTCTCCCTATAAAAGTACTTCCTCTCTTTGGTGTCATCCTTGCTGCATGAATACTGGAACAGGGGCATTTCCATATTGTAGCAGAACAGCAGTCCATCTAATCCTGTACCTTGCCTATGAGAGTAGCCAGTGTCAGATACTTCAGGGGAATAAACCCTTTTATAGCCAGTGATGAAATAACCTGCACCTACGGTTATTTTTTTCCAAGTCCAAATTGTTAGAGATTGGCCTGCACCCTGAAGCTTGAAGGTTTTATCCCTTCCAAAGCTCTTGGCTTTTAAAATGTTTTCTAGCTTAACAAGATATTCTTGTTACTCAGATAAATATCTAATCTCTTTTTGAACCAGCTCACCCAGGGGTGGCCAAACCGCAGGTCTCGAGCCGCATGCAGGTTTTTGCTTAAAGAAATGCGGCTCTTGCTAGTTCTGTGCTGCATGCCCGGACTGCTCACAGCCAACCACTCTGCGCACGCACCCAGCGCCTGGAGGGAGAAGCGTGTGGTGTGGCGGCGGCGGCTCCAGGACCCAGGCATTGGGTTAGAGTGGGGGAAGGGATGGAGGTGCCTGGCTCCAGGTCTCGAGCCGCATGCAGGTTTTTGCTTAAAGAAATGCGGCTCTTGCTAGTTCTGTGCTGCATGCCCGGACTGCTCACAGCCAACCACTCTGCGCACGCACCCAGCGCCTGGAGGGAGAAGCGTGTGGTGTGGCGGCGGCGGCTCCAGGACCCAGGCATTGGGTTAGAGTGGGGGAAGGGATGGAGGTGCCTGGCTCCAGGGAA